GCCCTGAGCAAGAGCGGACCCCGTCTCTACTATAAATAGAGAGAAATTAATTGGCCAACTAAAATATATATAACAAAATTACGAGGCATGGTTGCGCATGCCTGTAGTCCCAGTACTCAGGAGGCTGAGGCAGCAGGATTGCTTGAGCCCAGGAGTTTGAGGTTGCTGTGAGCTAGGCTGAGCCACGGCACTCACTCTAGCCTGGGCAACAAGCAAGGACTGTCTCAAAAAAAAAAAAAAAAAAAATTCTTAATGTTTAGCCTTATCCCATTTTGTCAGAAAGATATTTTGGATACAACTTTTTAAAAATAAACTGGTACTTTATAAGTTTTACTCTCTCATGACTAAAATTCTAAAATAAAGCTGTAAGATCTTATATGTTATGTATATGTGTCTTGATGTGTTTATATGTATGTACATGTATTATGTATTCTGTTGTCCCTACATATAATAATAAAATCCAGTGTAGTGCCAGAAATCCCTTAAAAAATGTTATTCCAGGCAGGCACTATTGCCCATGCCTGTAATCTGGGCACTCTGGGAGCCTGAAGCAGGAGAATCCCTCAAGTCAGGAGTTTGAGACCAGCCTGAACAAGGCAAGACCAGCGTCTCCTAAAAGAAAAAATACCAAGTGTGGTGACATGCATCTGTAGTCCCAGCTACTGGGAGGCTGAGGCAGGAGGATGCTTGAGCCCAGGAGTTTAGTTTGCTGTGAGCTAGGCTGACGCCACGGCACTGTAGCCGGGCAGCAGAGAGAGACTCTTGTCTAAAAAAAAAATTGTCAACATACATTTTTGCCTCAATTTACTGAGATAGTTTATATTTAATTCTACTAGATGGTTTAAGGTCAACACTATAAATTTGCTTAAAACAAAATGATCTTTTGTTGGAGGCAAGGACCCTCAAAGACCCTCAACTCCCCTATGACTCGTCCTACGCACGGGCTTCACCCTGAAAATTCCAGCTATAGCTCCGAGAAAGAATGCATTCCATGACGTGCTGACCACGGATGCTCCGGAGTGCTGACTGCAATTGTTCCCGACCACCTGCCAGGTTGTGGGTTGAGTAATCAATCACAAACAGCTTCGATACAGATAAGATGCTGATTGGGGCTGATTGCCCCAGACCCAAGCCTCATGTCACCCCACTCTATTTTTCTGTTTCTACTTCCTTGTTTCTGTATGCTTATAAAACCTACAAAGAATCCAAGTAAAGTAGACCTTGACAACCCTTTGCTTGGTCTCGTTCCTTTCTCTCGCCCATCTCTTTCAGGCACGGTCCCCCTTGACCTCACGAGTAACAGAAGGTCCCCTTTCATCAATCGCAAAAAGAAAATAAAAATACCTAGTAATATATTTAACCAAGGGCATAAAGAACTCTACAGGAGGAACTTGAAATACTGAGGAAGGAACCACAGAGGTAATAAACAAATGGAAAACTATATCATGCTCATAGATGCATGAATCAACATTGTAAAATTCTATACTACCCAAAATGATTTGCGATTCAATGTAGTCCCATCTAAATATTCAACACCATTTTTCACAGATCTAGGAAAAATAATTACTACACTCGTTGGAACCAGAAATTATCCCAAATATCAAGGCACCGCAAAAAGAACATATTTGGCAGGCATAACTTTACCCAGACTTCAAGCTATACTACAAAGCTATATTAACCAAAAGCGCATGTATGCACAGAACAGGTAAAGACCACTGTTCGCTAAGATATCTGACATATGTGCAGATTATTTGAGTGCTCTAGTACATTACAGCCACGGCTCTTTTGAGTTTAGCTTTCAAGCCCAACGAGGATTGAAATGGTATGATACCTATAATTATTTACACATGGTATAGGCTGGAGTGGTCCAGAAAATATCTGTGGCCATGCCTTTTGAACTTGCCAAGCTCATCTTAACTAATTTGTCTAGGTGATTTAGTTTACTGTGCAAACACCACAGGCCAATTAGAAGCAGTGCTGAAGTCGCAAAGGCCAAACCACACTCGCGACGTGAAAGAACAGGAAGCTCGCCGCCCTCCCGAACGAAGAATGCAATGGTCGCTCTCTCTCACTTCCGATAAAGGATGGGTGAAACATCCTCTCTCCTCTCACTCATCCAGACCTCTAGATCACTTGTTGGAGGACCTCAACTAAATGGGGCTCTCTCTTCCTCCGCCTTCGCGGCGTCAGCATATGGTGCGAGTACGTCATGCCGCACAGCCAGGGCAGTATCGCCCCAGCAGAGAGAAGAGCCTCCCGCAATCATGCATCTCTCGCGCACTCTGTGCCTGCCAGAATCAACTAGACAAAGACAGCATCCATAGCTCCACGTCTTATAGCGCGAGAAATGTAGCATAGTCCTGAAGGTACTCACATACGAGATGGGGATAGGTAGAGGGGACGGGCCGGGTGGAGGCAAGCTCTACTGCGCGCTCACTGTCTCCTGCTCTTGTTTTCTAGACTCCTACACCGGGCACGCTGGGAATCGCCTTGCGCATCAGACTCAGTGTGATCTACGTGAGAGAGAGAGTCTCTTCAAATGTGATGAAATGCACTAGATAGAGGTCACTCTATATTCTCTCTGCCACTCCAGGGTTGTCTATATTTGGGATATTAGAAGAAGGATTACATGTTGAGTGTCGCAGGAAAGAGAAGTTGGCTATTTGATTAACTGCTCCTGGCCTGGTGTGATACTCCAGGGAGGTGTGCACGGTCCTATTCACTTTAGCTGCGTACTGCCTCGCTCTCGACGCTCAAAGCGTTTTGCGCTGGCTGCAATCTCGCAAGATCAGAGGGTGTCGAGTGAGCGCTCTGGACAAGGAGCAGCTCGCGGGAATAAGCCTCTGAGCAGGGGGAGGGTGGGTTGTGATGTGACGTCAGTCTTTAGTTAGCCTCTCAAGGACTGAGCGTTCATATTGGGTGCTGTGGGTGAGCTCTCTCTCTGTCCATCGACTGGCGCGCGCCCGGTCTTCTGACCACTCGGTGAAACGCCTAGGTGTGTGTATGAAACTGGGACTCCATAGGGGTGTGTGTGTCGACAAGTCAGCTCTCACCTGGAAGCACTACGTCTAAGGCTAGTAAGGCAAGATGTAGGTATTTCTAGCGAGGCTACTGAGGTGATGGTGCCCCAGGCTTTCTACTTCTGCGTTTCCGTGCCACTTTGTCTCGTCTTAGTCTATGGGGTCATGCTTAAGGTATGTGGCCCAGTTCTCAGGAATACGGCTATGTCCCATATAGATGATTTCTGTTTGAGACATAGTGAGTTAATATAGCACGCTACGCCTTTCTCTTTTAACAAATGAGTATGTTATTCATTCTCTCTCCCCCTCGCCCTTACCCCGCATATATGGAGAGGATGCTTCTCAAGAGATGTAGCGCCTCTATGAGAGACAGCGGAGTCGCGCGAGGCGGGTTCCAGCGCTGATGTGTGAGGTATATACTGAATGGGAGAGCCCCGCCGTTAAGACGGCTACATCGGTGTAGCCAAAAGGGGGGGCCAGGTGTGCGCTGGGCGCTCTGCAAGATGTGAGGTCTGGCGCTTAGCTTTCATGCGGTCAGGTGGGAACATGGTCACCGTTTGAATAGGTGAAAGGAGACATCGCAGAGGCCAGGGGAGACAGGCGGTTTGCGCTCGGAGGAGGCTGCTACCCTGAGGATCTCTTGCCAGCTGGGCGTTCCATATTGATGTAGTATTCCTTCAAATCCGTCCGAAGGCTGGAATGGCGTCCCCTTGGTTGTCCACAAACGTTTCCGCAGTGTTTAAATTCTGAGATCAAACGAGGCAGAAGCGTTAGTGAGGGCGCGGCAGCCTCTCGTCTCCTGCCAGATCAGTAACGCTCGTACTCGCTCTTCAGAGGCCATGTGCTCTCCTGATGATGCTCGCAGATGGATGGGTGCACAGGCTTACTGGCTGTCATAGGTATTCATTATCTAATTATCTTGTGCCATGGTGTTCCCTGTGTCCAGATTTTTATTATTTCCATTTTATTAACAAATCTGCTTCATTTTGAGGGATGTGATCACTTGAAATACTCAGACTTGATCAAACTATTTTTTTTTTTTGCATATTTAATGACCTAAATTTACAGATTAAAGTATAACTGAATAATGTATGAAGAGTGTGTGTGGATTCAAACTCATTTGTCCACATCACTCAACTGTTTGTACTGGCCAACTGCATTACTATGCATGCAGATGGTTAATTGTGGCTCCTCTGATCATCTGTATATGCAAAATGACAGGTTGACTTGATTTTATCTAGCATAAATAACTCAGGCATTCACATTGGCAATTTGACCCAAAGGTTTTATGAATGTTTTTTCAGGGCTCAGGCCTGGGCGGCTCCCCTGGAAGCCCCTGACCTCTGCTGCGGGTTCACCGACCCACCAATTCCCCACTGGTGTCCCTCCCGCAGCCCCCAACCCTGAGCTCCACTTCTCAACCCTTCTTGCGGACATGATGTGCAGTATATTGTAGTACAGTGCAACAACGTCGGATGAATTAAAAACTTATTTTTCCTCCTTCTTCCCAGATTTCATCTCGCGTAGATTTATGTGCAGGCTGGTTTCGAACTCCTGAGCTCAAGCAATCCACCCGCCTCGGCCTCCCAGAGTGCTAGGATTATAGGCATGAGCTACCGCGCCCGGCCAATTTTTTTTTTTTTTAAGTAGGCAATTTTATAAAAGTTGTGAACCAAATTTTGGGTAAAGCATTTTTTTTTAAGCCAGTCAAATTTAGCAGTGGGGGGTTGAATACTAACTTTAGTCACACTAATGTTAATAAGTTCTGATAACCCATTACCATTGGACCAGCCTGGGTAAAGCATTTTGAAACAGTTAACAATATACTGGTTTGGAAAAAGAATAGTTAACTGTGAAAATTTGATTAAAGTACGTGAAGAGGACCAAAAGATAAGAATCTAGCAAGTTCTGTGCAGCATTTTCTTAGACTCAATGCTTTGTCCTTGAAGCTAAGAATGTTGCCATTCCTCAGTGCAGAGAGGGTACCCTTTCCATGGGAATTTCATCTTTTGCTTTTAAGAAACACCATGAAGTTCAACATGATTTTTTTGTATCTGCTGGTTTTTAAGGTTTTTACTTGATTAGTATGCCAGAATAGCTGGTTAGACAAGCTAAAGAAACAAGAGGAATTTTAACACCGGGAGCACAAAGCTCCAGAGAAGTAAACCTTTCAGCAGCTAGCTTTGTACACAGTATTTTGTACCAAGGCAATCTTTGAATCCTGAATGTTTTATCTTGTTTTGTTTGTTTTTCTTAAACAGAGACAAGGTCTCGCTCTTTCACCCAGGCTAGAGTGCCATGACATAACCAAAACTCACTGCAGCTTCAAACTCCTGGGCTCAGATGATCCTCCTGCCTCAGCCTCTGGAGTAGAGTAGCTGGGATCACAACCATGCCTGGCTAATTTAAGCATCTTTTGTATTGATGGGGTCTCGCTATGTTGCCCTGGCTGGAATCCAACTCCTGACTTCCAGGAATCCTCTGCTGTTGACCTTCCAAACTGTGGGTATGAGTGAAAGCTTTCATTTCATTTTGTTAGCCTCAAGATATCACTGACATATGTGCAGATTATTTGGAGTCTATGACATTACAGCCACGGTCTTTTAGTTTAGCTTCAAGCCCAACAGATTGAATGATGGATACCTATAATGTTTGAACATGGTATAGGCTGGAGGTCCAGAAAATATCTTGGCATGCCTTTGAACTTTGCAAGCTCATCTGTAACTAAGTTTGTCTAGGTGATTTAGTTTACTGTGCAAAACACCAAGGCCAATTAGAAGCAAGTGCTGAATATGCAAAGGCCAAACCAACACTCGCACTGAAAAAGGAAGCCCACCCTCCCCAGGAATACAATGGCCTTCTCCAAAGAGGGGAAACATCCTCCCCTCATCCAACCTCATGGGCCAATCCTCCCAGCCGCGGTCAGCAGGGGAACAGTCTCTCCAACAGGGCAGCTCCCGAACAGGAGGGAGAGACCCCTCTCCAATCCCGTCCCAAATAAAACAGACCACAGTACACGTTTGGGAATTCTGTCCAAGGGACACTCAGGAGAGGGAAGGGGCGAGCAGTGTGGGAACCTCATGCCACGGTCTCCCTGGGGCTTCAGATCCCCCCAGGGGAATCAGCCTTGGACTCAGCATGTGACACCGTGGGGAGCTCAAAATGGAGATGCAGAGAAGAATCTCTGCACTCCATGTTTATTTGGGAAGAGAAGGATTACAGTTGAGGGGTGTACGCAGGAAAAGGAGAAGGTTGGGTGTTCTATACAAAGGGAGGTGTCAGCTCGTGCTCGTGCAGAAGGTTCACTGGCACAGTCAGGGTGCGAGGAGCTGGCAAGGGCCGCGGCTGAGCAGGGTGCTGGGTGACTCAGTCCTAGGGCCGCGGCTGAGCAGGGTGCTGGGTGACTCAGTCCTAGGGCCGCGGCAGTTCCTCTCGGAAACTGGAGAGAAACTGGCTTCAGGGTGCGACAAGCAGCCTGAGCAGTCAGGCATACAGAGTCACATTTCTGGAGCTAAGTTGTGTACCCAGGGCTTTTCCTGCTGGCTTCTGCACTGTTGTAGTTGGGTATGACAAGGATGACCCAGTTCTCAGGATCAGCTTGTGCAAAGGATGTTTCTGAGAACTTGTGAGTTTTGCCCTTATATATACCCCCCCATTCACCCGCACTTAATGACGAGCTCCATGAGTGGGGCCAGGGGGAAGGAGCCAGGCCGGGGGCTTCCAGGCTGGGGGGGAAGGAGGCAGACACAGCCGGTGACACGAAGGGCCAGGAGAGCTGGGCTGCAGTGGGTCTGCGCAGGGTCGGAGAAGGCCGGAGGGGAAGCTCAGAGGCCAGGGAGACAGGCGGTTTGGCTCGAGGAGGCTGCTCACCCGAGGATCTCTTCCAGCTGGGCGTTCCATAATTGATGATATTCCTTCAATCCGTCCCAAGGCTGGAATGGCTCTCCCTGGTTGTCCACAAACGTTTCCCAGCAGTGTTTAAATTCTGAGATCAAAGAGGCAGAAAGCAGTGAGGGCGCGCAGGCCTCTCCCTCCTGCCAGATCAGACCGTCCCCTCCCAGGGCCAGGTCTCCTGGGTGCCAGTGGGGTCCGGCGGGCTCAGGCCTGGGCCGGCTCCCCTGGAACCCGGACCCTGTGCTGGCGTCCTGACCCACCAGTTCCCCACGGTGTCCCTCCCGCAGCCCCAACCCTGAGCTCCACTTCTCACCTTCTTGGGACATGATGTGCAGTCGAGCCCCATTCCGATTCATCCTGCGAAGCCCCTTCTGGTAATCGGGGTCCTGGTAGTAGTAGAGGCGGGCACAGCATATGGTCAGGGTCACGTTCCCGTGCCCAGCCAGAAGGCCAGCCACATCATCTGCACAGACGGGGCAGGGACTCCAGGATGTATACCAGGTGACCTGGTAGTCCTGGTCAGAGGACAGCATGTCGTGGAACCAAGTCAGGAAGCAGTCCTCTGCGTGGCAAGGGGTCTTGGGAGGTTCCTGGGAGAGGAGGAGGAGGGAAGGGGTGCTCTGGGTGGAGGGGCAGGCCATGCAGGGGAGGGGCAGTGGCAGGAGGGCCCTGGCCAGGAGCCCCAGGGCATTTGGTTCCTGGAGCTTCCTCCTCCCATCCCCTCCCCTCTTCTCTTTCACACTCAGCTTCCCTGGCCCCACCCGCAACCGCCGCTATGCCAGCCTGTCCACGCCGTCACTAGCAGCCACCCTGAGCCCCGCCTGGCCCTTCTGGGCTGGGGCTGTTCCTGCCTGCTGCCGCTCTGGGGACGGCTGTGGGGCTGCACACCCTGGGGCCATGGCCACGGGTGGCCGCTGAGCACATGACATGTGGCTCTGAATGCAGACGTGGCACCAGTGAAGTAAACGGGAGAAGGAGAGGGCGCTGGTGTCTCCTGAGGGGACCAGGACCGCAGGGTGAAACAGCGTGGAGACATTGCACTACGCAGCACGTTCCAGTCCCGGTCCCGGTTCCTACCGCCCTCTCAGTCGTGACTGGAGGGACTGTGACTGCAGTTCTGCCCCGAGTGCCCATGGGATGACACTGCTGTAGAGCCGGCTTGCACAACGCCCCACCACCCTGGGGTCTCTGCCTGGGTGAGGAGGGCCAGGGGTGGCTGGGCATTGCAGGGTGAGGCGTGTGGGGTCACCATGGTGCGATGACACCATTAGAGCCGTGGGGGGGCGAACAGCCGGCCCAGCAGTGACCTGCCACAACCCATTCTCACGGTGTCCTGTCCCTGCAGCCTGCTGAAGTAAAGCTCACGTTACGACTCTGGAACCGCGCTGGTGGCATCTGGGTGGCTCTACACGGCCGCAGTAGCAGTCACGCCCACGACCATCAGGCCAGGGCCGCCCAGCAGGAACGTCCCGGCCAAGGACTTAAATGTGGGACGAAAACATGCAATGAGAGCGCGCTTCTGGCATTTGCCTTGCTACTGTGTGTTGTGCATTCCAAGTGGCTTAGCTCCTGCCGGTGTGGTTGGAGTGCGTGGACCATACCTGTTTCGGAAGACCCTCTGTGGAAGGAACAGGTAAGCGCTGTCCTGTTTGTTTCCACTTCAAAGCACAGCCAGGTGCTGTTCCTACCTCGGCGGCTGGTTGTGTTGTTAAACTGGTGGTAGAATGTTTCTGCAGATATTCTATCCATGGGGTGTCTGAAGACACAAGAAAATCATAAACCCAGATAGTGTCCCTGGAGTCCAACAGTCTCAGGGCCACTGAACTGAGCTCCCAGCAGCCCTGGGCACCGGATCTCCCTGAGCCCTGCGCAGCCCTGAGCCCCTGCAGCCTTCCCAGGCAGGAAGCCTGGGGAGAGGCAGAGATGCCCAGGCCTGAAGAAGCAGAAGGATGGAGAGGAAAAAGAGCCTTTGGTGACTGGTGTCACGTGGAGCATTCTTGCTGCTTTGGAACAGGAAATCCTGGGAGCAGAGACCCACCTGGTCCACTTAGGCCCAACAGCCAAGGAGTGTGTATACAGACCTGGGCCTCTCTGGGCCTGCCCTGGGGGACATTGGAACAGAGATAGCATCACCCTGGACAGGCTGAAGCAGCCAGGGCAGCCTGGATCCAGCCCTGGGACCTGTGCCAGGACAGCACCCGCCCAGCAGCCTGGGACAGAGGGAGAGTGGAGGAGCTAGGTGTGTCGCTCCCAGGCCTTCAGACTCAGAGGGCTGGGAAGGGAGGCAGGAGCAGCGGGGGTTGGGCCCAGGTGTCCTCAAGGGTGCATGCCTGCTCCACCCTCAAGTCCAGTGGCGTTTCTGTCTTCTGCATCTGCTTGCCTGGAGCTGCACCTGTCGGCTGAGCCCTGCTTCCTCTAGTCCCATGCCACGTCCACAGCACTGGGTGTTCCCAGGCCACTGTGTTGGACCTGCCCACAGCGGTCACAGCTGCTCAGCTGGAGTTTGCTCCTGTGTGCTCGCCCAGGAGCTCACTTCCTGCTCCCCTGAGGCCTGAGCTGCCGTTGCCTGGCCTCCCTGATGCCGGCTGCCTCCTCTTTCTCTCCTGCTTTCTGGAAGGCTCTGAGGATCTCCATGCCCCGTGTCCCCCAAGCTGCTCTTTATTCTTTTATTGAAACGTGAGCTGACCCACTGAGTGTCTCTCTCTGGATTCTAGCCCAGCGCGAGGCTCGTCTCGCCAGGTCCACCTCGGGACTTGGACAGGGGATAGGGAGGGAGGCCAGAGCGATGGGGGAGCCATGGGGGTGCGAAGGGGGCCAAGGACCGATGGGGGCTGTGCGGGCCAGGTCAGGAGCCACCTGGGTGGTGGACACAGGGAGCAGTGGCCCCCGCACTGCCCAGCCAGGCTCCACCCCAGAGTCCCACAGTCACTGTCATGGGCTGAGCTGTCCCAACCCGACGTTGGGCTGTGGGAGCCCTGAGCCCACGTGGAGAGTGCGGGTATTTTGAGACAGCCCCTAAGGAGCTGAATCATGATGGCCAGGCCGAGCAGCCTAGGCCCACATGCCTGGGGATGCGGAAGACCATGGCATTCTGAGGCTCCGGGAGACTCAGGTGTGCAGGGCACAGAGAAAGACCAGTGAGACACAGTCCCCATGACCGTCCCTGAGCCGGGGAGACGGAGGCTCCGAGGACAAACCCTGCCAACCCCGTGATCGCGGACCCTCGGCCTCAAACCGCGAGCACACGGGAGCCGGCGTGTCAGCACCTGGTCTCGGCGTCCCCTGGGACACCCAGCCTGCAAAGTCACGTTCATGGGGGCGCTCATGCCTGTAGACCCCGTCTTCCCTGGAGGAAGCTTCTCTGAGCTTCTCGGTGTCACCCCGCACACGCGTCCCCGCCATCCACGTGCAGTCAGCGACGGATCGGGGACCGTGGCCTGTGGGAAGGAGCCAGGCCAGGGCTCCACGCTGGGGTGGAGGTTGGTCCAGAGGGAAGAACAGCCGGTGGGAGGAAGGCCCAGGAGCAGGAAGCAGGCTTAGGCGGACACCAGGGCGCTGCCCGGAGGGGAGGCAGGGGCCGGCTGCAGTGGTCTGGGCAGGGGGGGAGATCGGGGGGAAGCAGGGAGCCAGGAGCCTGGCGGCTTGTCTGGGGAGCTTCTCACCTGAGGATCCCCTCTAGTGTGTGGACCAGGATCTGCAAGTTTTCATCCAGTCTATCCCAACGCTGGACCAGGCGCTCCGCCATTATACACGAAGTTGTTCCCGCAGTGTTTAAATTCTGAGATGAAATAGGCGGAAAGCAGTCAGAGCGTGGCAGGCCTCTCCCTCTGCCGGATCAGACCGTCCCCTCCCAGGACAGGGTCTCCTGGGTGCCAGTGGGTCCGGCTGGCTGAAACCTGGCGGGGCTCCTCTGTGCCCCTCACCGCCTGCTGGTGTCTAGACCACAAGTTTGCTGCGGAGTCCCACCGGCAGCTGCACTCTGACCCCCACTTCTCACTCTCATCATTCATGATTGAGCATCTGAGCCCCTTCCTTCTTCATCCTTCGGAGCCCTGCCGGTGATCTGGGTCCCAGCTGTAGTAGAGGCGGGCAGCAAATATGGTCAGGCCTCACGTTCCTGTGCGTGGCAGAAACTGTACCAGATCCGCACAGTGGGCACAGGGACTCCAGGATGTTGAACCAGGTGATCTGGTAGTCCTCGTAGGAGGACAGTATGCCGTGGACCCAAGACAGGAAGCACTCTTCTGTGTGGCAAACGGAATTGAGAAGGACCTGGAGAGAGAAGAGGAGAGGGGTGCTCTGGGTGGAGAGGCAGGCCATGCAGGGAGGGCAGTGGCGGGGGCTGAGGGCCCCCCAGGGCATTTGGTTCCTGGAGCTTCCTCCTCCATCCCTCCCCTTCTTCTCTTTCACACTCAGTCTTCCCTGGCCCCACCCATGGCTCCTGCCCTGGCTGGGCCAGCCTGTCCCTCCGTCCATCCAGCAGCCACCCTGAGCCCCGGCCTGGCCGTCTGGGCTGGGGCTGGTTCCTGCCTGCTGCCTGCTGGGACGGCTGTGGGCTGGCACACCCCTGGGGGCCGCCACGGGTGGCCGCTGAGCACATGACATGTGGCTCTGAATGCAGACGTGGCACCAGTGAAGTGCACGGGAGAAGGAGAGGGCACTGGTGTCTCCTGAGGGGCGCAGGACCGCAGGGTGAAACAGCGTCGAGACGTTGCACTACGCAGCACGTTCCAGTCTCGGTCCCGGTTCCTACCGCCCTCTCATTGTGGGGACTGGGCGACTGTGACTGCAGTTCTGCCCCGAGTGCCCATGGGATGACACTGCTGTAGGCCGGCCTGCCCCCCACAACCGCCCCCAGCACACCCTGGGGTGGCTCCTGCCTGGGTGAGGAGGGCAGGGGTGGCTGGGGCATTGCAGGGTGAGGCGTGCGGGGTCACCATGGTGGGATGACACCATCAGGGCCTTGGGGGGGCCCAGCCAGCCCAGCAGTGACCAGGCCAAACCCAACTCTGCACAGTGCCCTGTCACTGCAGCCTGCTGGATGCAAAGCTCAGTTACAAGACTCTGGGAATCCCGCGCTGGTGGCATCTGGGTGGCTCTACAGGGCCGCACTAGCAGTCACGCCCACGACCATCAGGCCAGGGCCGCCCAGCAGGAACGTCCCGGCCAAGGACTTAAATGTGGGACGAAAACATGCAATGAGAGCCGCTGTCTGGCATTTGCCTTGCTACTGTGTGTTGTGCATTCCCAAGTGGCTTAGCTCCTGCCCGGGTGTGGTTGGAGTATGGACCGTACCTGGTTTCGGAAGACCCCACAGGAGACAGGTGAGTCGTTCCTTTTCACCTCAAAGCACAGCCAGGTGTCGTACCGACCATAGAGGATGGGTCTATTTTCAAAGTGGTAGTGGAATGTTTTTGGATACATTCGTATCATTGGGTCCCTGGACGCACAAGACAGAAACATAAAATACAGTGACCCTGGAGTCTCTGCAGTCTCAGATATTGATCTGAGCTCCCTGCACCCCTGGACACTGGTCCAGCCCCAGTCCTGCACAGCCCTGAGCCCCTGCAGCCTTCCCAGGCAGGAAGCCTAGGGGGAGAGGAAGAGGGTGCTGGCAAAGGCAGCAGGTGGGGGTGACCTCTCCCAGCTCTGGCTCCAGCTCTGGTCCTTCAAGTGGGACACCCCTATGCTCCCCACATTTCTGCCCACCCCTCCCACAAATCATTAGAAATAAGTGAAGGAGCTTAGGAAATTTTACCCCAAAATATGACTCCTCCGTATAAAGAATATTTTGAATTAAAGGTTCTTAGAGATTAACAGGGTCGTAGAAGAGGCTTGCCTTCTATCCACATAAACCAAAACAAACAATCTAACAAACAATGGGCCTCCCTTCCTCTCCCCTATGTCAATACATTGTCGGATAGGTGAGAATGCAGCCAGACTAGCCCAAATCACCTGAAACATACTAACCTGTCTCTCAGGTTAATGTACGAATCATTCTTGCCCCATTTATTTATCCTCCCAGGAACCCAGTATTGTCCCAACACAGAGTGGCCTGTGCTGCTCATCGCCTCCCTCTAAAAGGCCTGTGTAAAAGTCCATGGGGTGTTGAGTGAGCACTCTGGGATTCTCCCCATGCAAGTGGTGGGAAAAAACCCTTCTCTTATTGACCTGCCAATTAAGCGAGTTGATCTTTCAGTGCAGTTTTGGCGGAAAGAGCAAGTTTCCGCTCACGCCTACGTAAGCAAAGGAGGATAAAGCTCTCCACCCAAATAGCAGCCCTGATCATTGCAGCTCAGTTCATTCCTGACTTTTCACCTGTGCATGTTACCATTGTGGTTTTTTAAAAGTTTTTAAAATTTGAATCTTTACTTTAAAAAGATCTTTATGAAGATACTAATTAGTTTTCCCTCCCGTCTCTCCCAAATTACTGCTTATTTTCCAAATTACCTCTATCGCCCAGGGTCAAATATTCTACTTATTTGGTTTCTCTTTCTCTGTCTCTCTCTCTTTTTGGAGACAGAGTCTCACTGTGTTGCCCAGGCTACAGTGCCGTGGTGTCAGCCTAGCTCACAGCAACCTCAAACTCCTGGGCTCAAGTGATCCTCCTGCCTCAGCCTCCTGAGTAGCTGGGACTACAGGCATGCGCCCCCATGCCCGGCTAATGTTTTCTATCTACTATTGTGTGTGTAACTGTGCGTGGCTCCCACGCGCACAGGCCCGGGCTTCTGTTCCACCTGCTGCATGGATCTGAGCTCCTGTACTCCTGCCCCAAGCCTGGGGGCGTCCCCATTTTACAGATGAGATGCCAGAGGGGTGTGGTCACCTGCCCAGGTCACAGAGCTGGTGAGTGACAGGCTGGGTCCCCTGGCCTGGCCAGAGGGAGTCCAGCTGCTACATCGCGCGGCCTGCCTGCGGGAGTGTGCGCTCCTGCACCTGCGCTCCTTAGACCAAAGTTTAAAGTAGGAGCATTTCTCCTGATCTCACACTTTCTGTCACATTCCATTTCAGAGGCGCCGTTCCCAAAGGCGAAGTGCAGTCACGGAGGGCTGCGCGGGTTCGGAGGGCTGCGCGGGTTCGGCCGTCTGCACCACTCCTCCGCTCTCAGGGCAGCTGTCCTTGGAAAGGAGGGTTAGCCTGTCCCCTCAGAGAGCTGCCCCTCCTCCCACCCTGTGCTAAGACTTGGTGTTGACACGTGTGAATGGCGCACAAGTCCAGCAAGGGGCGTGCACGGAATCATCCCAAGCGCCCCAGTGATCCTCTGGCGCAGCTCTCCCTGCTGAGGGAGCTGGGAAAGGCGGGAAGCGCCTGGGGAGCCGCCCCCATGGGGCAGGGCCACCTGGCCTAGGCTTCCAGTGAGGCTCAGCGGGTGCAGGGCGGGGGAGGGGCGGCCGCCTGAAGCAGCAGTGGGGGCGTCCGCAGAGCAGGCCAAGCCCCTCCACGGGGTGGGTGTTGCAGGGGAGCCTGTGAGGACCGATGGGGAGCTCAGGCCTGGGACTGAGTGGCGGAGGCCAGTGCTGGGCACAGCAGGAGCCATCAGGCCAGGATGGGCAGCAGGGGCTCCAGGGCAGCGTGTGAGCAGTACCTGATCCATGGGTTGGGGCTACAGTCTTCCGGACAGGTTTGTAGCACCCTGGCTGTTCGTCTGGCTCCGTAGCGTTCCATTTCCTGCTTATGGGACTCTGGCGATGAGACAGCCCTCCTTAAAGTGACCTCCCAGGGGCCTGGGAGTGGTGGCTCCACCCTCTTCCGCTGAGACTCTGGAGGGGGAGGGCCCTTGGGTAGTTTAGTGGACCCTGTTTCTTGTTTGTTTCTCTCCTTCTCTGGGGCCCTCCGCCTGGCCTGAGGGACTTGTGGGGGAGCAGGCCCAGCTGTGCTGCGGGCCCCAAGGGACTGCAAAGGGACAGGACAGCGACTGCAGTCAGATCCAGGGAGATGAGCCAGGCCCAGCCAGGGCTGAGAGAGGAGAGCAGACACCCACTGGCCTGGCAGGGGCAGCCCCTCCCCACCACCCATCCCCAGTGCAAATCTGTGCCCTGAGCATTGTGCCTCGCCAGCCTGTTGAGTGAAGGGAGGGTTTCAGATTCTGGGGCAACGGAAGTGTGGACTCTGGATTGCGCCTCCTTTACTCTCCAGACAGATGTGCCTTGGGTTTACATTGTGTGCTTGTCCGTTTGCATACGTCCCTTCATCCAACCTCCTGGCTTCCAGAGGGTGGGTCGGAGGGCAGCCACCTCAGGGGACTGATGGCCACAGTCTCAGTGGAGGATGGCGATTGCTTTGATAGAGACATCTGCAAATGGCAGGGCTGAAATGAGAGCCTGCTCCGCGAGACCAGCACCCAGTCAAGGAGCAGACAGGGATGTCCAAAGACAAAAGGGCCTGCTGCCCACACAGCCCTCTCTAGGGTTGTGGTGTGGACCAGGAAAACGTGACACGCTTGCACACACACACACACACACACTCACATGCACACGCACAGCTTTCTGTTTATTTAAGTCCATCTAAGGATAATCCCCAAGGATATTTTGGAGAAATGAATATACATTGTATCATTCAAATAATCTTCCTAAATCTCATGTCCTTCAACAGGGTTTTGTTTCACTAGGAGAAGTTGTGCCCTGTCTGGAGGCTCTGAGGTCCTCCTCCACGTCCTGAAGGCAGAGCCCCGTAGCAAGGATGAGGGACAGGTGTCAGGGTGTGTCACTGCGCCCCGCCTGGATGAAGGTTTGCCTACGTCTGCACAAATTGGACTAACCATGCATGAGTATTTGGAGGGTGACGTTTTCTGTTGCAGTCTGAAAGAGACAGACAAGGGATAACAACATTGGTGGAAATAAATTGTTCCACTTACCGGAAACAGAAACTTTAGAAGCTGTAATGAGGAACCCAGGTGAAGGAGGCTTCCTTGGGCCCAGCAGTCAAGCACAGTGCTGAGGGGACGCCTTGCTGCCAGGCAAGTCTGAGCCCTGCCCCTTTCTCACTGTGGGACCTTGGGCGACTTACTTGGTCTCCCCGGGGTGCTGATGTTCCTCACCTTTAAATGGACATCCTAATACCCACCTCATAGGGTTATTGGGAAGATGACGTGATAATTTATGTAAGGAACTTAGCCCAGTACTTGGACTGTTAGAACAGAAGAAATGATAGTTCCTATCATTAGTCACACTACATTTTATTTGTTTATTTTAAAAAAACTTTTTCCATCTGTGTAATTTTATTTCGAGAAGGTTATATATATGGAAGCATCTGTATATAATCTTTTGTGATTGGCTTTTTTCCCTCAGCATAATGGCCTGGTGGGCCACCCAAATTGTCACATGTCTCAAAAGTGGCTCCTTTGTATCGCAGAGAACTGTGCGTGGCATGGATATGTGTTGGATCATTCACCCATCGATGGACATCTGGATTGGTTGCAGTCTTTGGCTACTGTGACTAAAGCTGTTACGAACACAGTTTTTTCTGAGAACACAAGCTTTCAATTCTCTGGAATAAATGCCCAGGAGTGCAATTGCTGTTGTATGTTAAGTACATCGTTAGTTTTATAAGAAACTATTAGTTTGGTGGAAAAGTAATTGCAGTTTTGGACCATGAATTTTAAGTCATTATAACTAGGCTCAAACACATCTTCGTTAATCAAAATAGGAACCATTACAATCAACACATTTTTGCCAATGAGATATAAGTTTGTTTATTCCTGTAGTGTAAACAATCCATGCTTTGGGATTCGTTGAACTCTTGGAAAGCATTTTCTGCATGCTGCGGGTCGTGGAGGCGTTTTCTCTGCAGAACGTGGTTGAGATGCGTGAAGAAGGGGGGCCGGTTGGCGAGAGGTCAGGTGAATACGGCGGATGGGGCAAAACTCTGGAGCCCAATTCCCTCAACTTCTGAAGGGCTGGTTGTGCGACGTGTGGTTGGGTGTAGTCGGGGAGAAGAATTGGGCCCTTTCTGTTGACTAGAGCCGGCTGCAGGCCTTGCAGTTCTGCAGGCCTTGCAGTTTTCGGTGCATCTCATCGATTCGCTGAGCAGACTTCTCAGCTGGAATGGGTTCGCCGGCATTCAGAAAGCCCGAGTGGATCAGACCGGCAGCAGACCACCAAACGCTGACCAGGACCCTTTTTTTTTGGTGCAAGTTTGGCTTTGGGAAGTGCTTGGGAGCTTCTTCCCGGTCCAACCACTGAGCTGGTCAACGCGGCCGTCCCATGCAATCCACTTTTCATCGCATGTCACAATCTGATCGAGAAATGGTTCCTTGTTGCGTCCAAGAAGATGAGACTTGAAAACGATATTTTTGATTTTTAGTCAGCTCATGAGGCACCCACTTATTGAGCTTTTTCACCTTCCCAATTTGCTTCAAATGCTGATTGATGTTGAGTTCTTTGGCAACTCCTTGTGTAAGTTGATCCTTGTAAGAGGATCAGCTTCGATGATGGCTCTCAATTGATTGTTGTCAACTTCTGATGGCCGAACTCAGATGGCACTCCTCATCTTCAAGGTCTCGTCTCCTTTGCAAAACTTCTTGAACCACCACTGCACTGTACGTTCATTAGCAGGTCCTCGGCCAGATGCGTTGTTGATGTTATGAGTTGTCTCTGCTGCTTTACGACCCATTTTGAAATTGAGTAAGAAAGTCACTGGAATTTGCTTTTTGTCTAACATTATTTCCATAGTCTTAAATAAATGTAAAATAAACAGCAAGTCATTAGCAAAAAAAAACTTTAAAATATTTCAAGCAAAGTCATTGTAAGGTGCACATTAAAATGATGTATAACATAACCACATTTACTTAAGAATGTATTCTGATATCAAATGGCAAATGTCAACAATGCTAAAACCTCAATTACTTTTGCACTAACTTAATACTAAACTATTTTCTATACTAACTGTATGATTTTTTCTTTTTTTTTTTTTTTTTTTTTGAGACAGAGTCTCACTTTGTTGCCCAGGTCTAGAGTGAGATGCCGTGGCATTAGCCTAGCTCACAGCAACCTCAACTCCGGGGCTCCAGCGATCCTTCTGTCTCAGCCTCCCGAGTAGCTGGGACTACAGGCATGCGCCACCATGCCCGGCTAAATTTTTTCTATATATATTCTTAGTTGGTCCAATTAATTTATTTCTATTTTTCGTAGAGACGGGGTCTCCGCTCAGGCTGGTTTCGAACTCCTGACCTTGAGCAATGCGCCCGCCTCGGCTCCCAAGTGCTTAGGATTACAGGCGTGAGGCCACCCACGCCCCGCTGATTTTATATTCTGACTAGCAATGTACAAATGATCCAGTTTCTCCAGCATTTGAACACCCTACGTTATTATCGTTTTTTAACCCCTCTAATAGGTTTGTAGTTGCAAAAATTCTGATAGTCCTGTATTATTGATACTGTGGGCTTTAAGTCGTACAACAATTTCTTAATACTAAATGGGATGTTGACGTATTATTACTTCTCACATCATCGTCCTTTTTGCCATCCGTATATCCAGTTTTTGGCCAGAAGTTTGCTGGATTATCTGTGTTTCCCCCCCAATTGTCTTTAAAATATGTGGGTCAAAATTACATGTAAGCATAAAATCTTACCATCTTTAAACCCATTTTTTTTTTTTGAGAATAGATGTCCGCAACTCGCTTTATCCCAACCCAGGCTGAGATGCATGGCATCATCGTAGCTTTGCTCTTTGGCGCTCAAGTGTCAGCTTCCGCCTCGAGTCAGCCTGGCGGACGGCAACCTCACGCTAACTTTCCCTTTTCTGGGCGTCCTCGCGCGTCTGCTTTCGCGTCTTTGAACCGGCCGTTCAAAGTGGATCTCCACCTCCGGGCCCCTCCACCAAACAAATGCTAAGATTTAAGTGTCGGAGCCCACTGCCCTCGCCATCCTTAGGGACTATCTTTAAAGTGCTACAGTTTAACGATGATCTAAATTATATTCATAAATTTGGTGCCATCCCACCACTACCAATCCAGTCTTCCATTACTCTTTTGTGCATCTTAAACCCGAAATCTGGTTTACCGCGTTAAACACTCAACTCCTAGTCTCTCCCTCCCCCCCATGGCTGGGGGCCCCACGTTTTACTCTTCTTGTCTCTATGGATTTTGCACTGTACTACGGCAACCCTCAGTGTCAAGTGGGGAAATTACCAAGCTATTTGTCTTTTGCGAACTGGGTTTTATTTTAACGGTAGCGGA